TGCATGCGTGCACACACACACACACACACACACACACACACACACACACACACACACACACACACACTACTGACATTTACAGGACATCAAGGTACAGTACCAATAACTGGTTGCTTTTGTTCTTCGGGTTTTGTTTGAGTTTTAGGCTTTGGTTTGGCTTTTTCCAGTTCTGCAGCTATCCCCAGACTTATTGACCTTTTAAAGAAAGTCATAAAGGAAGGCGTGGGCCCCCGGGAAGATAACTGTCAGGCTTCAGTAAGAGCACACAGTTCTGCTTTCTTCCTAATGCTTATTTAAACTAAATTTTCTCAGCCTCAAATATCATACCATGTCTGCTTTCTTCTTTTTCTGAGCACTGCCGATCATATTTCCATTTTGAATGTGCAATTGTACCCAGTACCTATTGCCGTTGTCTAATAAATTTGAAATGTGCAAAATCCAATATAATTCTGACTTAGTATTCCTTTAGTTTAAGCCTCTCCTGAGTTATTAATTGTTTTCAGGCTCAAAAATAGTCCTATCCAATTTTGTCTTTCTTTGTCAATTAAGTTATTTTTATATAAAAAGGCAAGGATACTATTTATTTATTTATTTTGAGACCGGTTCACACTATGTAGCCCTGGATGGCCTGGAATTCACCATGTACACCAAGCTGGCCTCAAACTTGAAGAGATTTGCTTGCTTCTGCCTCCTGAGTGCTGGGATTAGGGTGTGTGCCACCATGCCTGACCCTAAAAACAGATTTTTAAAAAACCCTAACATCTGAGTGCATGAGGTCACAGCCATTGTGAGTTCATGTGTGCAACAGCCCTGTCACTTTCAGCAAAAGCTGTCTCACTGCAAGTGTTCACTGCCTCTCATTCTTACACGCCCCTATTTCTTCCTCGGCGATCTTTGAGACTTTTGGGGAGATGGGAATGTAAATAGACATTCCATTTACAGCTGAGCATCCCACAGTATCTTATTCCCTGTTTACTGACAGGTTGTGGGTTTCCGTATTAATCACCATCTACTGCAAAAAGAGATTTCTTTGATGAGGGTTAAGAGGTGCACTAATTTTTGTGCATAAAGATAAAAACTTAGGCTGGGCAGTGCTGGCACACAGCTTTAGTCCCAGCACTCAGGAGGCAGAGGCAGGTAGATCTCTGTGAGTTCTAGACCAGCCTGATCTACAAGAGCTAGTTCCAGACAGACTCCAAAGCTACACAGAGAAATCCTGTCTTAGAAACAAAAGATAAAAACTTAGGGGAATGTTTAAAACTATGTCCATTTAATAGAATAACAGCATTAGGATTTTTTTTTTAAATATGATCTCACTGTATATCCCTGACTGACCTAGAACTCACTTTGTAGACCAGGTTGGGCTCGAACTCATGGAGAGTCACCTGCCCCTGCCTCCTAAATGCTGGAATTAAACTTTCTTTAGCCTCTTTCCCACTCTATCTGATAACAGAGATTTTTATCCCATTTCCTTCTTCAGAACTCTTATTTCCAAATCAGTTCAACACAAACTCAGCAATCTGATATCAAGTCCTTCTACGATTTTAATTCAATCCAATATATACTAGCATTAGCTGGTGTTGTCTTGCGCTGCTATACCAAGCCACGAAAAGTGATATGCTTATTTTTCACACAATACATGGTATGCTTTTGTATGTCCAAGCTTTGACACACCTCTGTGTGTCCACCTGGATCTCACTTCCCCACTGTCTCTATTATTCTGGATCTCACCCTGCCCTAGTCTCCCTCTCCATGACACCTGCTGGTGCTCAGTTTCTACCACCTATATGATAGTTGTTCTGCAGTTATATTATTTCCACACTGGATTCTGAATTCTACTGAAACAAAATACCAGGGCTGGAGAAGTGGCTCAGTTCTTAACAGCACTTGCAGCTCTTACAGAGGATGGTTCTCAGCACTGACATTAGGTGGCTCACAACTCTCCACTATTCTAGTTCCAGGGGTCAGACACCCCTTTTTGGCCTCAATCAGCACCTACATGCATAGTGGTGCATATACATACAGTTAGGCCCACACACATACACATATTTTTTAAAAAAAAAAAAACCTTTCAAAGAAGTAAAATAAAACACCACGTTTAGTGAGCCCTAGTGTGAGCCCTCTGTATGTAAGTGATTTACATGTACGGTCTTTGATCCTTCCATCAACGTCTTAGGCGGCAGCTCGCCCCACTTAACGTTACACAAAGTGTAACTCCGGGAGAGCACGCTAATGATGGCAAAATTAGGCCCCTCCCCGAGATTAGGTTTGTATTACTTGTTGTAGCCAGTACAGTGAACAGGATTCAATCTGTGCATGTCCCATCAGCATGCTAAAAAACATGTATGCATGTAGACCAAGGTTCTGAGAAGGTTTGGATGGAGGGACTGGACTGGAGGGTGATGACAGGATAACAAGACTGAAGAGGATGGTTTGACAGCTCCACCGTTGAGTTGTGAGGCTTTTTAAACGAGCGTTTAAAACGTATGGCTGCTAAACAGGATTACATCTATTCTTTACTCTCCAGTTGGTAACTGCCGTTTGTCTCTTGATCCCTGGGGGATCACCGGCATTCTTTTTCTGTCCCCACAGCGTTTAACGAATTGCTCAACACACAGAGTGCGTACTTGTTGATTTTAACCTACGTGTGCTCGCATGTGTGCACAGCAACTGGGCCGAGGACGTGGGTGTGGGATGCAGGGTGCATTCCTTTTCCTCATTCTTTTCCCCTTAAGCAGCTGCAGCCCGCAGGCTTTCCGTCTAGGCGGGGAGAAGCAGAACCACTGACCCTTTAACAAGTTGTCCCTCGCAGAACAGGTGTCTCCCCCGCCTCTCGGAGGAGAGGGATGGCTGGCTGCTTAGTGACATCAGCCGCCGACC